ATTCTGTTTCCGTCCATTTCACTTTTTATTTTTAACATTATCATCATATGCTTAAAGAATTTCAATAGGGGTGCCTGGGTGGCTCAGTCGGCCTCGGACTTTCACCGAGGTCATAATCTCGCAGTTCATGAGTTTGAGCCCCGCATCGGGCTCTGTGCTCACAGCTCAGAGTCTGGAGCCTGCTTCAGATTCTGTATCTCTCTCTCTCGTTGCTGCCCACACTCTGTCTCTCTTTCAAAAATAAACATTAAATAATTTAAAAAAATAATTTTAATATTACTTTTTTTACAATATTTTGTTTTTATTTTTTATTTGAATTTTTATTACAGTTGACATACAGTGTTACATTAACTTCAGGTGGTATAACATAGTGATTCAACACTTTGCTACATTACTCAGTGCTCATCACCATCAGGGTGCTCTTAATTCCTTCACCTGTTCTATCCCCTCCCGCCTCTGTCACCATCTGTTCTCTGTAGTTCAGAGTCTGTTTTTCAGTTTGTGTTTTTCCTTTGTTCATCTGTTTTGTTTCTTAAATTCCACGTATGAGTGAAATCATATGGTATTTGTCTTTGTCTGACTGACTTATTTCGCTTAGCATTATACAGGCAAGGAATGCAGAACACTGAATGTATAACAAAGTGTATAACACCAAGAGTGGTATTTTGTATAATTCAGCCAGACTCAGGGGCTAGGAAAGAGCTAGGTGTTCCTTCTCAGGCCTGTGATAGAATTTGTGCTGGTTTTTAAATTATTTTTTTTAACATTTCATTATTTTTGAGAGAGAACAGAGCAGAAGTCAGGGAAGGCCAGAGAGAGAGGGAGACAGAGAATGAGAAGCAGGCTCCAGGCTCTGAGCCATCAGCAGAGAGCCCGATGTGGGGCTCAAACCCACAAACCGTGAGATCACGGCCCGAGCCAAAGTCGGATGCTCAACCAACTGAGCCACCCAGGCATATTACTTTTTTAGTGCATAAAATTTGTTACTAAAATACATTTATTTTGGATCTTTTTTAATGAATATAAACTTATTTTGTCCCACTACATGTTTTTTCTTAAATTGTATTTTGTCTGACACCAATATAGATAGCAGTTTTCCTTTTGGAAACCACTCGACCATTTAGTTTTGGTATTTCTAGATGGCTGAGTTTTAGGAGTATCTCTGATAAGTAACACGTGTGGGGGTGAGCCACCCCCTGTATTCAGTATCAGAATTCTCATCTGCCATGATCCTGTCTTCCTGGAATTGGAAGGGAGGATCAGGTCAGTTAAGACAGTCCCATTCTCAAAAGAAGCCAGTAAGGACTAGACATACCACATTTTGTTATTTAAATGAGCCAAAATAAAAGACTTAAAATCAGTTGTCAAATTTCAGGAAATAACAGTACATAGATTGAATCTTATCAGTCTTGGTGCTTTAGTAAGGTGAAGCCATAGATGTTTCAGAAAGTTGCTGCCTTTATATTCTAACACATAAAGGTAGAATTTCCTGGAACTCTTTCCATATCCTGCCTTTCAGCACACTGCCTCCATCTTGGCAGACTTCTGATTGCAGTTACACTGCTTAACTCCTTTTTACCTCTTTTCCCGGCTCCTTTGAGTAGGCTCTCTAATGAATTACTTTGTTTTCCATACCAGCTTTGTTCCCATGGCTCCATCCCTGCAGGCCATAGGCCAGATCTAACATTCCCCCACACATAGCACAGCTTAAAGGAGGCTCCTTGAATCTATTGTCTTTAGCATAAAGATTATCTGAGATAGTAAAAATTCTGACGTTTCTAAGTAAGCAAGAGATTTGGGAAAGGATATAACCTTTTGTCTCTCCTGTTCTCCAATCCAGGCAGGACTAATACTGACTACACCACTAGACCAAAATACAAACAACAGTCCCTCCACCAACTTGGGACTGAGAACTTAAGGGATTTCAGGTTCAGCCATTACTCAGTAATATTTCTGAGCTTTTCCATCTTTGGGATACTATTTATGTAATTTTTTTTAATGTTTACTCATTTTGATAGATGGGGCAGGAGGGAGAGAGAGACACAGAATCCCAAGCAGGCTTCAGGCTCTGAGCTGTCAGTCCCACTCAGGGATCAAACCCACAACCATGAGATCAGGACCTTAGCTGAGGTTGGATGCTTAACCTACTGAGCCACCCAGGCACCCAGGGATACTATTTTATAATTTGTAGGTATGTCTGGCTCCTTCACTAGGCTGAAAGCACCAATGTCCTATTCACCTTTGTATTCTCTATGTGGTCTAGTAGAGTACTTTATATATACAGGCACTCAATAACTGTATAAGATAAAGAAACAACAAAACAAACTATGGGGAAAAAGAATCAATAATGCGGGGAACGATGATTATTCAAGAATTGTCTTTACATAAAATTGAGATGTGATCCATCAAAGAAATATTTGTCTAGATTGGTTGGTTTGGGTAGTGACAGAAAAATAATTTTAAATATCTATGTGTGTAACCTTACTTTCTTTAGAGTCTACTAATGAAGCTGGGGAGGAAATGGTCCAATAATAGTAAAATCCAATCAATCTCTAAGCCTCCAATGCTGTGTCTCTGGAATCCATACTGTCTTCAAATTCAGGGGCTGGAACATAATCAAGGAGTGGCTCACATGGTTTATGAATGGCTAGTGATGACTTTCCTTCTCTTTATAGCATTTGTTATCTCTCTCTCTGCTGCTCCAGAGCTGGGCCTTAGCCATAACTACCATATTTGTCATACCTCTGAATGTCAACTATGATGCTATAGTCTTAGTTTTCCATTCCATTCCAAGAGTCATTTCTGCCCTTACTTGTACATCAGTATATTACTAAGCCACAAATAGCATTGCCTTCTGCTTTCAAGTTCTTTGGATGACTCTAATGCTATTGCTTTTTCATTTGACCTACTATCTATCAGAGCCAGAACCACCCACAGACCCTGAGTCTCCAGCACAGCACAGGTCCACATGTGCTCTATTCATGGGATTGACTTTTCCCTCTAAAACAGATCTTTTTTTTTTCTGATTAAACTAGTTTACCTCAATAATAACTCCATTTAAAGTTTGTTCCTTCCAATCTGTTAAACTAAATTTCATTTCAAAAGAAGGCTTTTATTCTCCTAAAACTCAGGGAGGGTTAGTAGTTCTTGGGAAAGATATGAATTTCAACTTACCCACTTATTATAACTCATATCAGAGTACCTTAAGCCCTCATACATATAATTCCCTGATGGGTCTGCACTCCTGAGTATCTAGATATGCCTGGACATGTTTGAATCCACAGTGGGCAATTCCACAACTTAGCCTTTCACTCTAGGACACCTACTACACTTGAATAGATTTTATAATTAAAAATAACAGAATTGAGAGAACAAAGAGAAAACATGTGAAAATGCTTTGCATATTGCAGTGCTTTGCAAGTGCAATGTATTATAATTAATCCTTATTCTTTGTTTATTTGATAGAAATCCATGTCCATGGGGGAACTGAAGGCATCAAATAGTGAAAGTTAAAAATAAAATAGGGGACCTGGTTGGCTTAGTCAGTAGAGCATGTGACTCTTGATTTTGGGGTTGTAAGTTCAAGCCCCACTTTGGGTATAGAGATCACTTAAAAATAAAATCTTAAAAGAATTAAGGATAATTAAAAAAAGATAGTAGTGATTGATGTAGAAATCAAGTTGATATACACATGGAAGGTAATTCAAAATCTATGTACTAAATAGAATTTCTGTGGGCCTATTTGAATTCAATAGACACTTGCCAAATGAATAGAGATAAAAGTTGAAAGATGATTCTGGAGTACCTGAAAAGTAAGTCACACTCAGCCTACATACATTAGGCAAAAGAAAAGTAAGTGAAACTATACAGCATGGAGAATTACAAAGCTTGACTCCAGAGGTCAACTACTTGGGTTTAAATTTGAGGCCTCTCATTTATGAACTGTAGATGAATTTTGACAATGTTCTTAATCACAGTCTCTCATGTATTAGTAAAGTTTCTCTGAAGGGTTTTTGAAGGTATTACGTGAGTCAATACATATAAAGCACTTACTATCAGATCAAGCACAGTAGCAAGTGGTCAATATGAGTAAATTTTACAAGTGATCTATTCATGCCATTGTTTGTCACAAAAGCAAGTTGAATAGGGTTAGAATTTACTCAAATTTTCACTAAAGCAGAAATTTAGGGACTTGTATTTTTCAGTTAGTTAGAATTTAGTGAATGTTATTTGTAATTGGATTGAGAATTACTTCCTTAATTTTAAGCAACAGTTAGAAAGCAGTCAAAATATTCAAGTGGTGTAACTCTTAGCATATAAAACTAGCTAATTTGCCCTTTTGCTCACAATATTGGCAAAGTGGAGAAGTGCCTGGGTGGCTTGGTCAGTTGAGCACCCCACTCTTGATTGCAGCTCAGGTCATGATCACAGGGTTGTGGGATCGAGCCCACATCAGGCTTCATGCTGATCATGGAGACTTGCTTGAGATTCTCTCTCTCTCTCTCTCTCTCTTTCTCTCTCTCTCTCTCTCTGGCCATCTCCCACTCCTACTATCCCTCTAAAAAAAACAAAATAAACAAAAAAACCAATATGGACAAAGGGACACACTCATTATAGGATAAGTTCAAGAAATAACAGTTGATATTAAAATAATTAAAAATCACACTCAAAATGACTGCTATAAATGGAGATTACTCTTACAATTGCTATAGAAAACAATTAATATTCATGTGCAGATACAGTTTTATTTACAAATATCAGATATGTATTTTGTTTTAATCTACTGCTATAAATGGAAATCATTTCTCTACTACTATAGAAAGCTACATTAATAATCATATGTAGATATAGTTGAAGCTCTGAATATTAGTCAGTGTATCAAGTAATTTGTCTTAAAGTACAGTTTTATAAAAGGAAATTACTTTCATAAGCATTTGAGAGCTTAATTAATAATCATAGATACAGTTTTAGTTATAAATATTAGAGTTTATTGTGTCAAATTGAAAATATTTGCACCCTGAAAGCATTTTCAACAATTCTTGAAAACCAAATGCTTAACAAAAACCAAAAAATGTTCACCATAACAATACCTTAAAAATTCTGTTTACTAAAACATGAGTTTGGAGCAAAAATTTTTAAAAAAATGTAGATGCCAGCAATGCTTCTATTGTCTCCCAGAAAGGCATAGGAGTGAGTTAATAATATTCCCATTGGTCTAAAAACAGGGCTGTCTGACAGAGTACTGACTCATAAGCAGCCTGTTGGCCATATTTAATAGAGAAACTGGCAGTTAATTAGCTGTGTTCTGAAAATAAATATCCTATCATTGTTGACAATGAAAAATCACTATAGTTTAGACAATTTCCAAGACTATACCATATTCACATAAACCAAGATAGACTACACATATGTGAAAACCTTTAATATAAGGATATGGTTTCATGACATATATCCTCATGGAATTTAGTTAAGGAGATATTTAATAGCTGATCCTCATTGCAGTCAACTCAACCATTTGAGGCTGATTATCCAGTTTCTGGGTTACTCATGTCGTGCTTTTTCTTCTAGTGCTTCCTCTGGCTGACATCCTTTTGACCATTTCACCGCTCATTAGCACCTGCAAAATATAACTGAAAGCAGATGAACTCAAACCACTCAGTTATGTTTCTCATTAGCAGCTCTACTGAAGGATTCTATCCAAGAGGTGGTTGCAACTATTGGGTAAAATTAGGTTTCTGGATTATCAGTGGATTTCAATTATCCATGTTGTTTCTGTCCCTCATGACCTTGCATAATCTAAAGTTGGCCATATTTATATTTACCTTGTTATATGGAAAAAAAGTGTATCTTTAAAGGGAAAATTAAGGATACTGGCTATCTGTTCTCTTGCTGAGAATTTTCCCTAGTCCCTTTTTGTATAGCTAACTAAAAAGCACATAAGGTCCTATGAGAATTCATACTAATTGTTGTTTGTTTTAATTTTTATTGTAATTGGTAAAACCATAAAAGTAATCTTATGGACATGTAGGTATTTAGCCACATTTCTCATATTTGAAAAATCTTTTTGTGAGTGTGTTAAACACTTAATTTGACAACTCATTATTTATACTAATCTCAGTCAGAAATATTGTAGCCAAGGACTGTAAGTAGGAATATGCTTTTAAAGCTTATCCTATGATGCATGAAGGGTGTGTCTCCAGGGAAAACAAGAATTGTGTATCTTTCGAAATCATGAAATACTTCAGTCTACTATAATCTTTGTTGTTTCATGCATTTGAACATTTAATTGTAAAAGAATTATATGTTATTTTAGAAAATAGAGATAACCATAGAAATTGCCCATAATCTCACCAATGATAACCAGTTGCCATTTTGTAGTATATGCTTACAGAACTTTTCTGTTCATAAGTAGATTAACTCACCATCCTCCAAGTGAGGCCATATGTAATTTTGTTTTCTAACTTGCTTTTTTCACTGAATGTGTCAGGCAGGTTTTTTTTTTGTGTGTGTGTGCTAGTAAATACGTTTTTATGACATTTTTTGATACACAGCATTCCATTTTATGAGTGTGCCATAATTCATTTAAATATTCTAGGTTTGGATATTTAAATTGTCTTAAAATTTTTTTATAGTACCAAATACCATGAGAAACACTCTGGAATGTAAATATTTATGTGCCTTCTTAATGTTACCTCAAAAGAAAAAAGTAGAAATGGAAATCTGGATCAATGTGTGTCCAAATACTTTTTGCTTAACAAATGCCCCCAATAGTAGCTATACTAAGATTGTACAGATTTTTCACAAGACATATCAGTAATATACTCCTTAGGATTTAATATTAAGAAAGTAGTGTAACTTCTGAGGTGTGTGTGTAAACTTTTAGTTTAATATGGTGTAGCTGATTGCCACACTGACCTTGTTTTTGCTGTGGTTTCCACCTCATGCACATATGTATATTTAATTTGTATAGTTTATTGATATCAATCAATTTAAGGGGATAAGCACCAAAAATACCTAATTTCTCTTGATGAATTATTACAGTAAAACACTAAATGAACTTATTTTAATGTGCTCAAATAATGTGTAATAAAATCGATTTGTTCCTTGATATTCTGAGGATTCTTTGTACTGCATTATATTCAATCTCAGAAGTAAAAGCAAACAACAACAAACAAACCAAAAAATACCTGCCTACAGTTTTGTTTACTAACAACCAACAGTGAAGTGACAAATCTCCACCACTACCAGTACCCCACACCACCCAAGGGAGAAAAACATATTATCTGAAAACATAATGAAATATCCTACATATTTTTTTAACCTTCCCAATCTGCCAACCTACCAAGTCTTTTCCATCTCATTAAGTGATAGCTCTTTCCTTCCATTTGCTCTGGCCAAAAACATTGGTGTCACCCTTGACTCATTCTTCTTCTCTCACATGCCATATCCAATCCATCAAGAAATCCCATTGGCTATATGTTCAAATTATACCTTCAATCAGACCAGTTCTCAAAATCTCCATTACTACCTCCCCAGTACAAGCCAACATTATCTATCTTCTGATTTACTATAGTAGTCTTAACTGACCTCCCCGCTTTGGCCTTTCTACTCCTGCAGTTAATTTTTTGTACATCCCAAGAGATTCTGTTAAAATTATATGTCAGATCAAGTCACTCCTTTCCTCAAAACCTTTTAATGGCATCCCGCCCCACTTTGAGTCAAAGCCAAAATCCTTACTATAAACAACAGGACCCTACAGGGTCTATCACGCCCTCACCCTCAGCATTGTCATTGAACCCCTCCCCTGTTTCTCTCCCCTTTCTTGCTTCATGTCAGGTACAATGGTCTCCATTCTATTTGTCTAATAAGTAGCAGCTATAAAGAACTTGTACTTAAAGATGGTTTCTACATGGCTATAGAAATAGAATTGATAAACAATTCACTGCAATGAGCTCTGTGTGCTTTGTGCCCTTCACACATCCACTCTGAAATATCCCATAGTCATTACTTAAACTCACTCAACAAATTCATTCAGTTAGTAAATATTTATTGAACCTATTATGCTCCAGAAACTGTTATATATGCTATATATCAATAAACAAAACAGACAAAACTTTCTACCTTAGTAGAGTTTCAATTATATAGGAAAGAGAGAGATTGCATAATAAATTGTGAAGTATGCTAAAAAGTAATAATGTAATGGAGAAATACAGAACAAGGATATCAGGTTAGGAATTTGCACATGTATGTATTTCTAAGTGCTGTGTGTATGTGCAGTTGTGCTATTGTTCCTGTCACAATATCATACTTGGATTTGACATATTTCTTGCATTGTATTTTGTATAGGTCATAGATTCTATGTACATGTAATATCCTAGTTACTGACATGATTCCTCATAAATTGGCTAGTATAATGTAATAATCTTCCTGCACTTTCCAGCATGACCTGTTCCTTCAATTTACTCTTACTCATTTTATTACTTTAATAGCTAACACATTTATCTCCCTGCCCTCTGAGCCACTGATAGTAATTATAGCTGACACCTTAAGAATTCGTTGGTAATCTTCTGCCACAATAACTTCTTCCCTTCTGTTTGGTCTTCTCTCTTGTTTATGCCTCAGGCCTGCCTGTGGCAGTCAGTGATACCCACATGCATTCCTTAACCCCAAAAGTTTGACTGAAACTGCCATAGTCAGAAATGAATTAATGATCTACAAGGAATTAGGCATGGTAAGTCAACTGGTTATTTTCTTAGCAATGTGTCCAATTCTGATTGGAACCCATGTATTTAGATTTGTATCAGTCTATCACTGATTTTGAAGATATACAAATATCCGGGATAGTTCTTGGTTTCCCTGATTTCTTAATCCTGAAATTTTAGCCAACTGTGAGACAAAGCTTTGAGTTATACCCAAAGGTTTCAGGAAAAACTGAAAATTTTAATCTATTGAAGAGCCTGTTTAGATAAGAGGAATTTAATTGACATCCACTTAGGACACTCTTCCTGGAGATGAGATATGGAAAAATATAGCTTCACTAGAAACTTTTCACTTTTCTCTCCTTAGAACTCTGATTTTCTCCTATTCAGCCATGCTCACAAGCATTTTAAGTGGATGATTAGTGCTTAAGAAGCATCTTTATACATGAGAAGTAGCTAAATACTAATATAATATCTTAAACTTTGGATGTTTGCCTTTTTAAAATTCATATTACAGTTCTAATTTCATACTTTTTCCATAATATCACCAGATTGTAGGTGAGCTCTTAAATAGACAGTTACTAGGACTAAAACTGTTATATGACCCAATATGCAAAATAGATCTGGGAAAGGAATACTGAAATTGACTTGATGGTAGAAATGACCTATTCTTTTAAAACGATTTTTGTTTATTCAATGTCACCACAAATAGTTTTTCAGAGATTTGAAAATAAGAGAATTTTGTATTTGGTATAGTACAAAAAGCTCTTTGTGTAATAGTCATCACAGAATAGCTATAATACCATAGAAAATTTGTTTCAAAACTCAGACTTGGAATTTAAGTTTAGCAATAGGTGAGATTAATTTCCATGAAGATCCTGGTATTGTAAATATCTTACTCTGTCCTTAAACTTCCCATTATGTTTTCACAAATGAAGCTTAATAGGTTATGATGAGATATTTCTTTCCAAGACTGATTAAAAATATTCATTTGGATTTATAACCAAGTGTCTATGAGAGAAATAAGTCAAAATATTAAACCTACAGTTAATACAGAAATACTATTGAATTGTAATGATTTCTTATTTTATTTCATCTTTTCAAAGTATCTTGAAGAAAAAAAGGCAAAGCTAATAATATGAGCTAAAGCTACCAAGTTTTAAAAAGGTAGGTTACTGAAAGGTGGCTGAAGAGTATGTGGGTGTATCATTGTTTCTAACTTTGAACAAGTTTAAACATTGATAGCTGCTCTGTAATTAGTTATCTAGACTCTATAATAAAGGAATATTTATTAGTTTGCTGCATCTACCTGAGTGGAATGAGGATCTACTGTTCTCCATAACACAGGTAGTCATCACTTAATGGTCTTCTGGGCTAGATGTATGCATTACAATATTAAGGGAGCCAAAAATTTAATCATCCTGTCATATTAATTCATTAATTTTAAAAACCTCTCTTTAGGAATTAATGCTTCATTTGTTTTTGTTCTTTTAGGAATTCTGTAGCATAGCTTCTGAAAAATTAAGCAAAGAAAATAGTTACATCAAGTCACAAAGTTGTATACATTGAATTCTGATATAGGCTTCTAAACTATTGCTACCTGAAAAAATTAGTTCAACATTTATGCTATAAAGTGGCTGTGAATACATGTTTTTAATAATAAATATATCAGATGCATTTAGTCAATTAGAGTAATTACAAATGTATGCATGAGCAGTGGTAGAATACTGGATAACTATTTTTAATGGATAAAAGTCAGAAAATAATCATGTACGATATGCAATAGGCAAACTAAATGGCTAACTTCTAGAGAAAAAACTGTTTGCCTCTATGAAAACAATACTATTCTCATAACTTTGGTACTTGCATATTAAATTCAGTAATCAAATGGTGAGCATGCACTACTTTAACTATATAA